TCATGGTTTGGGACATCATTCGTCCTGCACCCGAGAATCTAACCAAAATCACGAACGACGAAACCATGATTTAGCAGCCGCCACAGAGTTTGGGGATTGCTGTGGAGTTTGCTTGGGGTCTTCGAGCTTGAGCTGCGGGTTCGAGACCCGACTTCTGGTGTCGGCGGGTGAGGTCCTTTGTCATCCGAATCCGTCACTCGATCTCTTGATTTTACGCATGGAGTTGAAGTGGAAGAGGCACGGGGGACACTCCTGCATGGCGCTGCAAAACGATTCCAAACTTTGCAGATCTTCAAGTCTCGGCTCTTTACACCAGGCCGGAATTGTGCAGCGCCAGCACTACGTCTTCTAAGCCATGAGAATGCCATCCAGGTGCGTGTGAAATTTGCCCTGGGATCGGATCAACCAGTTCCTCGGTGCAGGCTCGAAACAGGTACAACCCGGAAAGCAGAGTCTGGAGTAAATCAAGAAGCTAATGATCCGGCCTACCTCCAACCATGTGCACTTGCACTCGCGGGCCCAGCAAGTTTGCAGGGAACTTCAGGATATATCATTGGAAGACACCAGGACCGCTACGACTGCACCTGCTGCATTGACCGCATCCACGCTCTGCTGCTATGGCTCCTCCACCTACTCCTGCTACAGCATGGTACTAGGAAAAACTGAAGAACAGTCAGAGTCACAGCAGTAGAAGCAGCAACGATTCGTAGGAGGTTTCATTACTGAGCCAAAAGTCTCGATCTGCAGCTCTGCAGCGCCCTTTCTTGCCAAGCGGCTGCTCGTGGATGATTCTTTGGATATCCATGGCCGACGCCTGAGCAGCTTCAGACTTAGCAGACAGGATTTCGGCGTTTCAAGACTCAGGCTGCGCATTGCGAGGTGTTCTGATTCGGGGTTAGCACAGACAGTACTGAAAGCTCAATGGCAGTTTGAAAATGTAGAGCCCACTGGCTCCGAAATGCTGTTGTGATGGAGCTCCACGCCCACACAAAGTATCAAACCTCACTTCTAAGCCTATACGGTCCTCTGAATCTAATTGTCGTAGAGCTTAACTACTGTATGATGAGTCCTGAAGTCCTACAGTTCAAGCGCAACAGCGTACGCGGTCTTCTGAATCTAAGTTTTGTAGAACTTAACCACCTGATAAACAAACCTACCATTTAAATCGCGACAGACTACAAAGTCTCTGGTGGCTTCAGTCCTCAAGGACTCGCCCGATAACAGGAACGCAACCAGTTAGAACTGCGGGCAGACTACTTCATCTTAAGCGTAGTTCCATGGGAGGCTTTACAGCCCGAATACTCTGATGCAGGATCTCAGTTCTCTAGGCACTCTGGGCGTATTTTCGGAGTTTAGGGCCAAGTTTAAGGCTCCAAGCTTCGCCTTTCCCCGAAAGCCGGAAGGCTGCTCTGACAATGGTCATGCTCGAAGTAGGAACTTGCCTACAGCTGATAGCAAGAAGTGTATGCAGGTTTTTTGTCTGGGCAGTATCACGTGTAAGGCAGCCTGTACAGTAGAGTCATTGGATCAGCGCCTCGGCTGCCGGTTCTCGAAGAAAACGCCCGGACCCCGGTGCCTTCCTGAAACCCACAAGCACAAACCCTGAGCACCAAAGAAGTGGCCTGCCCGCGCAAGCGCAAGCACCCCATCAGAAACTCCTCCACTTCGATCTGCCGGGCAGAGCAGGTTAGAAGCGGGCTCCAAACTCCGGATCCTTTGGTTGTTCCATGTTCAAGCTTGATCCAGCGTTCGGGTCTGGGGTGTCCAAGACTCAAGACTCAAGACGGTTGACAAAGTGAATGGCATCATGAGTTGTCCCTAGACATGTCGCAAGTGCTCAGGATCTTCCAGAAGGCAACATAGGTCGCCCGCAGTGAAAGCATTGATGGCTTGGAGTCGTGAGCTTTGGCGACAGAGTCTTGTGGATGGCCGGGGTGAGAATTTCGGGGTCTTAGGCCTGGTCTGGGAATGCAAGATAGCAGCACTGACAGTCACAACAGTCTTGCATTATTGTCTAGCCAGCCAAAGTATTCTCGCCATGTTGATTGCTCTGACTGTGTTGCTGTAGTCGTAAAAGCAGCAGTAGCATTAGCCGTAGCAGTAGCAATAGCAGGAGTAGCCATAGCGGTAGCGGTGGCAGCGGCTGCGGCAGTAGCCGGAGCAGGAGCAGGAGCAGCAGTAGCAGCAGGAGCAGGAGGAGCAGGAGCAGGAGCAGCAGCAGTACTAGGAGCAGTAGTAGTACTAGGAGGAGGCCAAGGAGGAGTAGTAGTTCTTGTAGTTGTAGTTCTAGTAGTGGTGGTAGTAGGTAGTAGTGGTGGTAGTGGTAGTACTCGTGCCTGTGCTCGTACTATTTCTAAAGTACAGTACCGGGTTGGTAGTGGTTGTCATCGCGTAGTTGACACTCTGGTTGCTGATGTGGTTGCTGTCGCTACTTCACGGCAGACATTGTTACTACTGTTGATTTCAATACCAGTACTTTCTCGGCAACAAGGTGCTGCAAGAAGGCCCATGTGCCCAGGGCAATGCGACATGCCACAAGGGTCTGGGATCGAGGTGAGTATGTTTGGCGAGTGCTACTGACTGAAACTATCGCATTTACAGCACAGCACCCTGTCGATGGAGAAGTTTGTGCCTTCGCTGGATTTGCCAATGGATGCTGTCCATAATTACCTGTTTCAAAATAGACGTCAGGAATCTATACCTTAGGCATAAGCAACCCCTGTCAGAAGGAGTTCAGAAAATATTGGTCCTTGCGGCGCTAACGTAGATGAACTCGGAAATCCGTCATGAAGCGCTACTCCGAGAATTGCAAACCCAACCCGACCCCCGCGCTTCTCCACTCTTCCAAAGCCTCTCCACCACCGTCAACGTCAAGAAGCTTGAAAAAAGTCCACGCATCCCATATATCCTGCGCATTGTTGATGACATGTGACGGTTCAAGTGTGGAAGGAGGGTTGGCAATGACAATTCGGGGCTCCCGGTACGGCAGGCCCGAATTGTTGTCTTTCTTGGGAAGCTTCCGAATAGTCCGGCTGCTGTGGCACTTTCGGGTTCAGGGCTGCATCGGGCAAGGGAGTGGAGTTCAAAGCGGAAGTCCCAGTCGGAATCCCCAAGACAATAAACCGTCGACCGCCAAATGAATGCAGCCAAAATGTCGAGACCCATGGCTGAGAAGTATTCCCGCACCTGTCATCAGCAGGCTGCTGCTTGGCCCGAACTGAAACACTGAAGCGATGACCACAATCGATCATAAGTCCCACATTGCGGAGCACCCATGCTGTTGGCGCTAAGATCAGCAGCTCAAGGCTTGAAGCGGTTGAGTTTGGGAGTCGAGGCACCGCGGCTGCTAACTAAGACCGGGACTTACGCGATAAAGCGAGGATCCCGTCTTTGGGCGGCCCTGACGGTTCTTGTGAAGTCTCCTCTTCATTGGCATCTGAACCGAAGCCCTGATTCAGAGCAGCCCTCTGATATATGCCGACAAAGACTCTTCCTTGTCCTAGAAAAACAGACTGCTATTTGAACTTTTGGGAGATGGAGCTCGGGCTCTGAGTTTTACGGCCGACGGCTCAAATTGAGAAGTTCGGCACCACGAACTCTACCCACCCATGTGGCCCAGTCTCGAAGACGATTGCAAAAAAGAAGTTGAATGTGTTGATCGAGAATCGCAATACTTCTGGTTGTAGCAAGAGTGAGTGGTAATAGCAACCGTGGTAGTTGTACTACTCAAAGCAGAGCTTGGAATGCTGGCTTTGAAGGCTTGGAATCTTCCAGGCTGCACCAAGTCTAAAGGAAAGCTGCTAATCTAATCGTTGAAGGTTTTAAGTAGTTTGGGACCGATCAGGGCTTGTCAGGGCACGACTAACAACTTGTGGTTCGGACCTCTATATGTTTTGACAGGCCCTTTAGGGCACCCAGCACAGAAATCGAAAGAGTACGGCTCGCATCTTGAACTTCAGGGAACTCCCATCCTGGTCCGACGTCCGCCCTGAACCAAGTCTAAGCTCTGAAACTCTCAACCACAACCCGGGGCTCGAGACCTGGATCCAATAAGTCAATCTGAGGCTCGTCCCAGAAATAAACCCAACAAACATGCGAACGAGCTCTTACAATATAAGATACCCTGCCGAGTTTACTTCTGGGGGACTTTCGATGCTTAGGCTTCGCACGATTGTCACAGGTCATGCATCCACTTCCTACTATCCAGATTGTCTTCCCCGATCAGGAACCGAGAGAAGTGTCGTTTTAGAGGCCATTGTCGACAAACGCCCAAATGCAAGTACGCGCACGACTAGGGACTAGGGGTTCTCGGTTTCAGTGATTGGGAACTTGCTTGTGGATGCGCGGAAAAGCTGAATTAGCTCCTAGTCCTACCTAGCCTAAGGTTCGGGACCTATATTAAATTATCTCACCTCACGCTCATTCTTCTAGAGTGTGAATCTTGCATCGAATTCTCTCACCTCATGCTCGCTCTTCTAGAGTGAGAACCCTACTGATTTGTTGGAAAGTATGGTTAACAGGCTTACCTTTTCAAGTTCGGAGTTTCGGGATTCAGGGATGGACCCATTTTGGGCTTCGGCTCAAAGCAATGCCGGGCACCTCTGGCGAGTTGATCTTTTCCTCAAACATCGCAAAGGTGATGCCGGAACCTTCCTGGGGTGAAGTCAGCAGGACCAAACCTAGCCAAATACTACCGTAACTATAAGGAGAATGCACGAAGCGTCCCTCGCATGACATGGTCCATATCACTTGTAGTCTTCGACGACCAGGACAAACCACATGGCTTTTCAGCGCAAGCCGAGGCAGGATTCGACCCCGCTATCCGCGGCAAGAAACGCAACCAGAACCGGCCTTTGGCCGGGTCTGGGCGAAGTTCGTCGGAACGGTGCTGTTTGTTCTTCAACAAAGCATCTGAGGTCAAACCGGGTCGAGGCGAAGACGCGGGACTTGTGTTGTTTTGCGCTTTGTGGCGTTGAGGGCTTCGTGGCAGTTAAGGCATCTCACTCGGTGGCTGTCTGCTGCCGCCTGCTTGACCTCGTGCACGGATCTCGGTAGAGGTTGACGCCAACTGCAACTGCAAGCGCCAGGACCACGAGCCTGTAATTTACACAAGTCGGTTCCAGGATCGCTTGTTTGTTTCAAGACTCGGGGTGGCTTATGGTTGGGGCACTCGTGGGGACGAGCCTTCCTAGCTTAGCACCACATTGGCAGTTGATGTCTTTGTGGGGAAGGCGGGCTGAGGTTAGATCTGCTTAGGAAGCAAACATGCATGTTATTGAATAGACAAGGAACACGCATAAGATCAGCCGCAGGTCAGCGTCGCTTTCGGACATGCCGCCCTCATCTTCTCCCACAATGGCATCTGCACCCCACACCCCGATACCGTCGATGGCCATCATTACCTTTGTGGGGCGCACAACTTTCCCTCGAATGAGAAATGACTGGGCATATTCCCAAAAAAGGCACTGTGTCGGTATCCTTCCAACTCTCAAACCCTAGACTGAGACTCGAAGCCCAGAACCCTGCACACGAAGACCCCGCGCAGGCAACAAAAAAGGCAAGGCCAATTTGTCTCTAACGCCACCATGTAACGGACTTGAGCAGCATGAGCCTTGACAAGGGTGTCGGAAATATGCAGCAGGAGGCCACCACGAAACCCATCCAGTAGTGATGCGCGTGGACGTCATCCGCAAAGGCCAAGAAGAGACCCACGTGGAAGACCGTGAGGAGGGACATATAGAGAAGGTAGTTCCTCTGTCCAGAAGCAGTCATGTAAAGCTCTGGGTTTGTGGCCGTGGGACGGCCCATTGTCTCACAGAACTTCTGAAAGCATCGGCGCAGGCTCGGCAAACCCTCACAAGTGTGGATCACCAGCGTTAGCACCGTGGTTAGTGCAACGAAAACGTCAAAGGCGCCAAAGGTGCTTCCAACAGAGACACTGTGAGCCATGAAGTCCTCACAGCTGTCCCAAATAGCCTTATTGATGAGAAACTCACAGAAAGCAACAGACACGAACAAGGCACGGTATCGTGCAGCGCTTGGGGGCACGCTACAAAGCCACGCCAACAGGATGCTTGCGGTCAGCAGGTGAAGGACGTTGCGCAGGTGCGAGGAAGTCGTCTGGTCCTCTACTTGCCAGCAATACCACGTATACTGCGGACATCCACTCAGGGCACGGACCACTGCATATCCCAAAATTGGAAAGCAGCACCACAAGCAAAGGCCGATCGATGGCTTCGCGAAATCGACGGACATCACTGGCCATTGCCCATGTTTTCGCTTCGCTTCTTCTGGGGTCCCACCGTCAGGAGGAGCTGGCTCTCCATGCTGCGTCCCATACTCGAAAAATCGTTGGAGCCTTTGCAAGGAAGGCAACTCAGCGTTCAGGAGCGACAGCAGGCTCCAGCTGCAGCACGCTAGAATGGGCAGCGTGTACGAAGCAGTCGCTGCAACACAGCCCGAACTGACCATGCGGAAGGCGCCCAAGGTAGTATGAGATGAAGGTAGACGACAGGCAATTGGCCCTGTTTTGCTTTTTCTGCGTAAGCCGCCTTTCTCTCTCTCTCTCTCTCTCGCCCTTTCGCCCCACTGCCACTGGACGTCGAGCGTTGAGCCGAGATTGGGCCCGATACGGGTGAAGGACCTCGCTGAATGACACCGCTGGGGTTATGGCTTATGGGGTCTCGGGCTGGGACTGCTACTGCTACTGCTGCTGCTG